CTTTCTAATTTATACTTTGCATGCAATCAATATTTATTGAGTTCCTCTTTGGATAGAATAACAATGTACAAAGCACTGGAGGGAAATAAAAAGAGGCATAGTCCTTATCCTCACTAAGAATATGAGATGGATCTAGTAGATGGCACAAGGTTTATGTTTGTTAATGATCTTTAAAGTGACAATGATGATAGCTAGCATCTTTTAGTGCTTACTTTGGCTAGGAACTCATTTATATATAAATTAATTCCTAAAGCAACCCTCCAAGACTGATACTGCTAATGTCCCTATTTGATACATGAAGAAGTTGAGGCACAGGGGATTATGTGACTTGTCCAAGGTCATGTTGCTGGTTTAAGGGCCTGTATTCTTGATCACTATCTCTTATTCCACAACAGTATTAAAAAAAAAAAAAAAGTTCTTATGTTCAGTAAAGTGACCACTAGTCTTGTATAGTAATTGTCTTTAAATTTTATTTTTTTAGTACATGTGTATAGTCCATAATGTTTACATTCTTTGCAGGGTGTTGGTGCATATACATAAGTACATTTTGATTCTTTTTTTTTTTTTTTCATCCCTCGTCCTTTCTTTCCCTCCCCCGTCTATTCATCTCTTGATCCCCTTGTTTGTTTGTTTGGGGATTTTGTACAACTTCACAGTACATACTGCTTATATATCTTGTGTAAAGTTGGTATAGGCACAGTGATGAGCCTTTTAGCACTTTCATTGATAACAAATAGCCTGCTGTTGCACGCATATGGTAGGTTCGCTACCACTAGTATAGGTTCTCACCATATATTCCAAACTGGTCTGGGACTCACTTTATAACCCAGGCTGACCTTAAATTCAATGCAGTCCTCCTGTGTTAGTGCTGGGATTATCGTCATGTGCCACTATTGCCAGCTTGTATGGCAATTTAAATTTGAATTGACTAAAAATAAAAATGTAGTTTGTTGGTTGGATGAGCCACATTTCACTTGTTCAGGAGTCATACATTACTGATAGTTACCATATTGGATCCACATTTATATCACTGCAAAAAATTCTTTGGCAGTGATGGGAAACCTTTTAGAGCTTTTAATGATGCAAACTGCCTAAGAGATGGCAAGATAGCTCAGTAGACTAAGCAGGACTGGGGTTCAATCCCTAGCAGTACATGTTGCACCAGCCCCACCCCCTAGCACTGTGAGCCAGCCACTAAGTCCAGGTGTGGAGGTGCATGCCTGTAATCCCCGTGCTGGGGAGGCTGAAAACAGGAGAATCACTATGATTCTGACTCACATAGTGAGACCCTATAGACCCTGTACCAAATACATAGGTTCGCCACCACTGTTCTGTGGCACAGCAGTAGTCTAGAAAATAAACAATATACCAGTTCTAAGGAAAGGGACCTGTGTATGAAGCTTGTAAATTCTACCAAATGCCCATGACTGAATGGGCAACCTGGCCAACTGGGTGAATGAACTATTCCCAAAGGGTGAAAGAGGGAAAAAATACTAACTTCAGTTTTGTACTTGATAAAAAGGGATATCTATGAGCTTCTCTAATTGAAGCTGTGCAAAAAACATTTAGAGATGAGGTAGTAAAGCTCAAGAGAGAATTCTGGAGATAATCCTGAACCAGCTGAGCCATGAGGCTTTCATTGTTTTGTTTGGCTTGGGAGTTTGGCTTGGTTTGATTTGGTTTCATTTGGTTTGACATGATTTGGTTTGGTTTTAGGAAATAAGGTCTCACTGTGTTTCCTAGGCTGGTATGGAACTCCCAGGCTCAAGTGATCATCTTACTTCAGCCTTCCAAACAGGGGAACTACAGACTTATACCACCATACCACATGTCACTGTGAATGAGATATCTTGTTTTGGCAGATTTGGGATTGAACCCAGGATATCACATGTGCTAGGTGAACACTCTATCACTGATGTACACTCCCAGCCTTTGTTTGTGTATAGTGTGTGGTACTGGAGATCAAACTCTGCCATATTCTCCTATTTTTTTTTTTTTTTTAATTTTGAGACAGGATTATGCAGGGTTTGGATTTATAATCCTCCTGCCTCATCCTTCCATGGAGCTGGGATTAAAGGATTACAACACCATATCCAGGAATAAATGAGGTTTTGTTTGTCTGGTTGTTTCTTTTGTATTTTTTTAGGGAAGGATCTACAGGGTGTCAGGATTTCACCATTAGATCAGACTTGTAGTGATCCGCCTGTTTACAGCCTCCCAAGCGCTGGGATTCCAGGCATGTACCACCACGCCCAGTCTCAATTGCCATCTCAGTGCATCCGGGGGCAGGGCTGGCAAGCAGGCCCTGGGATTGAACCCCGGCCCTGAGCCTGCTTGCCGGTGCTTCAGTCCACCAAACTATTTGGCCGGCCCTAAATGAGGTTTTAAAGAAAATTTAGAAAAAGAAGACTGAGCAGTTTGGAGTTACAGAGATGAGGTGAAAGAGGGGTTGGAGAAAGATTAATCAGAAGGTAGAAGATAGCCAAGGTGATAAACAAGAGCAAATGAGAGACAGGAATTTCATGGAGGAGAGATTGCTTTTTAGTATGAAATGCTATATAGATGTAAAGACTAAAGAAAAAAAATACATGGATATGGTGGTTTAGAAATTGGCAGAAACCAAGTGAAGTGATCAGAGAAGAAATAAAAAGTTCAAATAACTCCTTCATGAAGTTTAGACATTAAACAAAGGAGAAACAGGTATAAAGTGAAAGGAAATTTTTTTAAGTAAAATACATGATCATGACTGAAGGCAAGAGAGAAATTATTGGAAAGAGGCAGTTAGTAGTACTATGCCTTCTTTCATTCACATGTTCATTCAGTACAGATATTGTTTATCTTACGAGTACCAGACTTTGTATGAGAAACGAAGTATATCAAATAGAGGTGAATAAATGAGAAGGCCCCAAAGTGGCAGTAGCACTGTAGACTGTGTTGCTCTTTTCCACTTAATAATCAGCCCATACTGGTACTTCCCATTGAGCAAACCCTGTCCTGTTAGCTGTGAGGTCTTTATTGGCTTTCATATCATTCTTAATGACTGGATTTAAGCATAAGTCTTATAGCTTGGGTAGTACCCAGGTATTTTACTGTGTCAAGAGCAATTTTTTTTTTTAATAATGTTGAGCTTTTCCTTGGAGATTACTCACCCATGTAATGTCATAGCAACAAACTATAAGCTACTGATTTTAAATTCGTAAGACTCACTCCATATGAATTAAATTAAACTTCGAATTAAAATATATAATATACATGTATCAACTCCCCATAATGAATGTAATCATTATGTACTGCAAGCTTGTACTATACTAATAAAATAAATAAATTTAGCCAGTATTAATTGAGCAAATTAGAAAAGAAGGAAAATATCTTCTCTTCCAATTCTAGAGAAAGCCATGAAAAGATTTGGTTCAGGAAGCTATTTTGTTATGGAGAGTACAGATGAATGAATCAATATGGCTTGGGAGTGTGTGTATCTCAAAAGGTACTGGCAGCAGACTTGGTAAATGGCTTTAAGAAGGTGTGCTCCCAGCCTGGCACAGTGGCCCAGGTCTCTAATCCGAGGACTCTGGACGGCTAAGGCAGCAGGATCACAAGTTCAGCCTAGGCTCAGCAAGTTAGCCACGTAATGAAACACTGTCTCAAAATAACTAAAAACCAGGATTGGGAATGTAGCTTGATAGAAGGCCCTCAGTTTAATTGAGGGTAGGGTAGTTCTCCTAGGAATTATATTACCTGGTCAGAATTCTCAAAGGAATTATGTCCTTTTAGGGGAGACAATGTTAGACCATTGAAATACCTTTATAGAAAATAGTGGTGTACTTCCATATTTTCCAGGCCTAATTAAAGACCATATAGACTTTTGAGCCTCATCCCAGAAATTTCAGGTATAGTGTAGAAATCTCTGTTTTTTAATGGAATTCCCATTGGTTCTGATTTAGTTTGTTCTCAAAGCTGTCTTTAGAATTGGAATTCAGTAAGCTAATAAAATGAATATTAAAAAGCCTTGGAGAAAAGATACTCTAAATTTATTCACTTATTTATTCATCTAGCATGCTCTATTATGCTACTTTCCAGGGTTACAAAGATGAATAACATATGTTCCCTACTCTTAGTTTAATAGAAGCGATACCAGTAAATAAATAAAACAGTTTGGTCAGTGAGAAGATAATGGTTTATAGGCTTATACAGAAACACCATGCCTCATTTGTTTGGGGCAGGAAGGAATGCAGAATCAGGAAGTTTGTGGGAGTGGCTGCACTTTTTTATAACAACTGATAATGTATGCTTTGTCATATTGTATATTACTTGTTTATATTGTTATGCTTAAAATTCTTGATAAAATGTTTATATTTCTCCATTTTATTAAACATAATGCATAAAGTTGAACTTAAATCAAGTTTTTATTGATTTGTCATGATTACATATTACCAGTTTTCTGTGCCATATAGCAAAATAGTGGTGTCTTTTCTTACAGTGTACAGGATTGATTTCTCTTACCTAAAATGGTCCCCAGCTGCTAAAACTTTGTATAGAATCAATGGAAAGATAGCTCCGAAGGTACATTTGAATGTACAGTGAATTCAGTTACCTTATATATGTATTTTTCTGAAATCTACGTTCAATAGCTGATTGGTTCGTAAACATGGAATGAGTAAAAGGTGGCTGTAACCAGGGTTGAGATTTTGTCAGATAAAAACAATGTGAGAAAGGGGGAAAGAAGTGATGCTAAGAATGAATCCTGAGAATTTATGCTCAGTTAGGAAAGAGTGAGGCTTGGGAGTAGAGGGAAGAATGGTAAAAGGGAGTTGGGTCCATTAACTCTAAGATCTAGGGTCGATAGTTACTAGAGTGGCAGTGTTAGGAGCGCAAGCTTGGAAGGACAGAAGGGGATGATGAGAGGCCTTAGTATGAGCTGGAATGCCCAGTGATAGAACTGAATGGGGATCCTGATGAGTTTTAATGGCTATAATAATTATTCTAATTCATTGATTTGTTAGGTTCATGACTACAAAGAAGGAACCCCAGAAGAAAAGACCTATTATATAGAATTATGGGATGTTGGAGGCTCTGTGGGCAGTGCCAGCAGTGTGAAAAGCACAAGAACGGTGTTTTATAACTCTGTAAATGGTAAGCCATTTTTATTTCAACCACATTTTATGGTCTAGAAGTGTAGATCATCTGATATGGTATGCTATGGCATGTTAATCTCATTTTGTTCATAAGGTAATATACTATAACTTTCTATTAAATTTGTATATCACATTCCAATTTATGTTTTGAGATTCTAGCTATGTGATTCAAGATAGAAAAATCTGCTTTGTCTAGGTCTGTATTATTTATATTCTCTATTATTATTATAAACTATTGAGATGTTTCTGTTATCATAATATAATGCTGTTGCATTATATTTTGAGTATACTTGATATAAAACATGAAACTTCCAAAAACACTAGAAAAATTATTTCTTATCTCATTGTCTTAAGGCAGATGTTCAAAGAAAGATTTCTTCCAACTGCCCAGTAGAGTCCAATGTAATTATAAAGAGCTGCTTAAGGATATATGTAGAGATGGAAAAAATTTATCCAGTAATATATGTGCAAGTACTTGAAGCATACTTTCAGATGTAATAAAAGACAATAATTGCAATTCATGGGCACTTATTCCTTGTCAAAGGACTAAGCCACTCACCTTAGTGGTTTGTTCATAGTTTCTTATGGTCATTTGTAAATTTTTTTATTATGAAATACAATTTTGTTTTTTACTTGTCCTTGACTAATAATCTAAAAGATTTGGCATTTCCTTCCCTCCTGGTAAATGTGTGGCCATTAATAGGACCTTATTTATGTTAAGATTAGATCTCATTTAATATTAGGTAAACATTGCACTTATTAAATACCTATCTTCCTTACATTTCTCTGTCAGTGTCTTTCCTGAATCATAAAATGTTGTGGATACTATAAAAATAAGTAGTAAGTATTCTTAGATACATACTATACAATATATGATGTGTTCTATTAGTTCAGATCCATGTCTCAATACAAATTCTATCTGAAATTGTCACAGTCTAGTTGACAAAACATTCGTAAATGAAAGAAGATACAGTTAAATGATAATATGTATCATCAGTATTCAAGAAAGCACCCAATAAAGGCATATAACAGAATGCAGTAGTACTTCAGTTCACAAACCTAGTTCATTCCATGATTCTGGAGAAAATGGCATTTCTGTTCATTGTGGGGAAGATGGCAGTGGTCATGTTTGTCATCTGATGAAGAGTTTGCTAACAAAGCAAAATTTTGTCAAATGCTTCTGTTCACAAACTGAATTGTTTGAGAACTGAGGCACTCATGAGCCAAGGTATTACTGTGTATATAAATGAAGGAAAAGTAAGATTATACTGGTAAGGTTAAGACTAAATAAGATTATAAGATTTTTGGACTTATGTGTAAACATGAGAATTGTATAATTTGTTATGCCTATTTTTAAAATATATTCTAATTTTTAAATGTTTTTTCATCATATTTTGTAGGGACTTAAAGTTCGACATATCAATACTTGATGAAAAATACCTGTTCCATGTTATGCCTAAGATGTTTGTTATTCAGACAGATAGTGAGCTTAACTTAACAGCCTAGGTTATATGGTAATAACAATAAGCTTGTCATCTGGAGGGTTAACAACCTAAGTTTGTAGACCAAAATTAGAGAAAAAGGAGGGCTGCAAGGAAGGCCAACATTTTGGCCCTAACCTTCCAAGGTCAATTAAGACTCAAGACATATGAGCACTTGTACTGTAACGTCATGTAACTCGGTAGTGTTCCAAATTTTCTGATGAAGGAGATTAGGGGGCCAAAGAGGAAAGTGATCGATGATGTAGAGTGTGCCTAAGGAGAGTCCCATGGAGAGAAAACATTCTCTCAGGCTTTCACAGAGAGCACATTGGCCAAGCAATGGCCATGACTCATCCATATGGCTGACACTGACAAAGGTTCTACAACCTGAGGTACAGGATCTCAGCATAAATCCTGAGGGGATTTCACTGACCTTATCAGACCCAAAAGCTACAACTCTTGTTGCATAGGTCCTGCTTTACCTTGTTCTTAACCATCCAGCAGAAAAGTATAAAAACGAAGTATAAGAAGTAAACCCATGCTATTATGTTGAGCTGTAGGGGACTCAGGTCAACAATTTCTGACATTGCCAGTGCAGCGGAAGACCCAATACTATTATGAGCTACTGGACCCTTTTAGAATATTTTTCTGAGTTAACACACCTATAATACTCAAATAACGGAACTTAACAAAAAAAGGGGATACAGATGAATGTCCATCTTGTATCTGTGTATTCAAAATGGTTAGGATGGATATATAGTTGCATTCTCTTAATGAATAGAGGGATTTGTTCTAACAGTGTTTGTAAATAGGATATCATGTCCGTATCTTGTACAGCAATTAACCACTAGGAAGAATGTATGCAAGTGTTAATTGTTGAAACTGTCCTACCAATTTGGTTTGAAACTGTCTCATTGCTATTTGTTTCTCAATAAAATTATGGAAAAAATAAAAAATTTAAATAAGATAATAGTGTGAGTTCACTACTTGAAATCTATTTTAGACTTCAAATCAGGTAATAAACTTATGAGTCAGTCAAGTGATTTGTCAAAGCAGATTATCAGTCTTCTTTGGCACAGGAAAATTTGGATGTATAATAGGATATTTATCCAGCTAGGCCAACACTCAGGAAGGAGGCCAGTAGGAGGACCATTGCAAGTTCGAGGTCTGCCTTGGCTACATGAATTCAAAACTACCCCAGAATGCATAGTGGGACCATGGCTCAAAAATACAACACAACCAGTTTACTATGTACATCTAAATTGTTTTGATCAGAGATAGGATAAATTTGGAAGTAAATAGTATAGATAAAGACCAGTTAAATTCTTTCAGTTATGAAATTCTGAGTTACAAACCCATAAGTACTGAAGAAGCCCATTGTCCCCCATATTTATTTTTCTGTACTTTCTATTCTTTAATAATTTGTATCCTCCATTAACCCATTAGAAAAAATTACACATATCCTATTTTGTTTTTGCTTGTAAGACCAAAATATATTCCTCTATCTTAAAACTAAAAAATAAAAATTGTGGTATTTATTGAAAAACCTACTTCTTTATTCTTTCACCATAGCTCTAGAACTTTCTCCTTGGTAGAAACACTCAATTATCTTTATCTACTATCCTAAAAAACAGCATAAGGATCACTCCATTCAAATGTAGTTTTTATTCTTAGAAATAATATTTTCCCCTCAGTATCCTACTTCCCATCTCTTGAATTAGGCAAATAATCTCTGCAGGAAACTATGTAAGTCTCTGACTTACAAACATTCAAGTCAGGATCTTTCATTAATACAAAAATGACCTTGCATTATGAACATTCATAGATGCGAACAAATCACAGAGGTAGCTCACATGTCTGCTGAACATTGTCTTAGTTATGCAACTGTACAGTGCAGTATTCCATAATACTACTGTGCTCAGTCAGAGCCCAGGATGTCCAAAGACAATTGTGATATGGAGAGGACTGCTTGGAAGTGAAAAGGAGTACCATGGAAACAAAAGTGAAAATACAGTATAAGATTCACTTCATCAGATTTATGATTCAGTCTGACTTACAAACATTCTTCTAGAAGAGAATTCATTTGTAAGTCAGGCTCTTACTATATAAAATGCCTCTGCTTTTCTCCCTTAAAATGAGAACATACCATACTCTAATCAGCTGTCATTCTGACTCCTTTCACCTGGGCCCATGTTTCCCTCCTCTAGCTCATATAGTACAAAGTAAGAACTCTGATACCAATCGAAAGATGAAGAATGAGAAAAAGGTGCTCATATGTCTTTAAGGTTCAAAAGCCTTACATATATATTCTTTAAAGAATAAACATTTTGTTGTTTATCTAATAACCTATTATCTAATAGTGTTTGTAATTGTTTTACTCCACAACCGAAAGTCTTCCTTATATTTTTGTAATATACCTAGGAAATAGAGGAGAAAATATTTACCCTAAAATGAGATTTTATTCTACTTTCCTTCTGTCAGAATACATGAGTGCAGATTCTAGCCACCTACCATGTGATCTAGAGCATATTAGGTAATATCTCTGAGCCTTATTCCCTCGTGTATAGAAAGAGGGTAGTAGCTCTTAACCTTATATGACTGTTCTGAAAATTAAATTAGGTGATTGATGTACCAGTACATAAGTATTTATAAAATATTATTTAAAATATTATGTATTTCTTTTAATGGTAGGTCTTCCTTCTTTTTTTAGTTTATGCTTTTGATATCTATGAGACCCCTTATTGCAGGGCTATTTTGCCAGATACCAGGAAAGATACTGATTTATCTGAGCTCCTTGAAACAAGTCCACTAGAGCACAACTTGCCCAAGCATCTTAGTTATATAGATGTCTAAAAACTATAGATGTCAAGTAATTCTACATTTTCTGCCCTTCTTTTTCAGTCATAGTCCACATTTTAAGATTCAGTAGTCATAATTTCATGTTCTTCTTTTCTTCTTTTCACCATAGAATCAGGGTTATATAAGAAAGGGTTGGGAGTTTGAAACTTAGATTTTCCTGACCATAATACTCTAAACTGTAGACATGGAAGCCTTTATTTTATCTTTTTTTATTGTAATGATTTAATCTACTTTGTTTAGGATATTGATTGTTTACTTACATTTCTGAGCCTGATTACATTGTTATTTTTCTCAATCTCAAAATTTTTAATTTTCTATTATTCATACTTTGTCCTTTCTTATGCCATGTTTCTTTTGCTCTTTTATCTAAGTCACTTTGTAAGTAGCAAGTTTATATAGTTATCCATTAATTCAAAATTTAGTACATTGAACTGAGTTTATTAGGCACAACTGATCTATAAGACAGTATTTTATCTCAGATAATGAAGATCATTTGTATAAATTGAGTCAATGACATTTTAATTTTTTTGTTTATTTATTTCAGTGACGGATAGAACCCAGTCTTATACATGCTAGGCAAGTGCTCTATTACTAAGCCGTAGCCACATCAGTGTCATTTTAATATTTATTAGCATCATTTTCAGTGAGTATGAGTAGCATTTGCACTGAAATAACTGGCATGCTATATATTGTATAAAAACAACTTAACTTTTTGAATGAATATGTTGTTATGCTGAAATAATTTCAATGCCTTTGATTAATAGTGTTTAAGTAGGACAAAGCATGAAGTAGGCACTCAGGTAGTATTGATAAAAGTATAAGAAATGACATCTGAATATTTAATGACATTTTGTCAGCAATTATACAATTTTTTAAAGTTATATAACCTACAAAAGTTTTAGTTCCATAATTATTTGTAGAAGGCACTTAAAATAATTGAACTTATAAGACATAATAGAATACTAAATTCATTAAGCCACCTAATACTTCCACAGAGCTTCGCTTTGCCACTTGTGAAATGAAGAGGAGTTGCAACAGTACTAATACTATTTTCTCTGATTATTTTAGGTATAATTTTAGTCCATGACTTAACAAATAAAAAGTCATCTCAAAACTTGTATCGTTGGTCACTCGAAGTTCTCAATCGGGACTCAATGCCAACAGGAGTCTTGGTAATGAATGGGTAAGTCCAGAATTACTTTACAGTTGCTTTGAATCTTACAGAAATCCCAGAATGTACTATATAAAATAACACTTCATAAAATGTTTCATTTGGGGCTGGTGAGATGGCTCAGTGGTCTAGAGCACCTACTTAGAACAAGCTTAGCAAAGTACAGGGACCGCGGTTCAATCCCCCAGCACCACATGCCAGCCAGCCCGCCCCCTGGTGGGCTGAGCTGGCCACACACACACACACACACACAAATAAAATTAAAAGAATAAATAAATAAAATGTTTCATTTGCAGATATTTTTCCTAGTCTCTTCACTGTCTTTTGACAGTGTCTTTCACAAAGCAATGATTTTTATTTTAATAAAGTCTTTCTTTATTATTTTAATAAAGTCTTTCTTTTCTCAATTATGTTTTTTATACCACATCTAAGAACTCTTTGCCTAATTCCAGATCATACAGGTTTTTAAGTGTGTTTCTTCATGTGAAGCTCTGCTTTTGAGTCCACAGTGTCCAGTGTCTGACCACTCAGTTAATTATGGGATCCAGGCAAATCTTGCAGAAGGTTGGAATAGCCTCACATCGGACACCAAAATTTGTCACTGGCAAGCATGGTTCTTGGCTCTTCATAATCATGGAAATAAAACTAACGCACACATTTACAGGAAAAAAAAAATAATTAAAAGTATGTCCATATTTTGTACTGTGAGTAACTACTTTGAAGATAACAATATGCAATATATTAACTATTATTATTCTCTCACTATTTTGTTTCAAAATATTTTTTTTCCATAAAACAAACTAAAATATAAAAAGTAAGAGAAAATAGTAAAGGATTCTGGCTTAAAGAGCTAACAAAGACCAGGCCAACCAAGAACAAAGAAAGATGAGCAAGAAAAATAGGAAAGCACTAGTCTAATTGGGGTTACACTCTGACAAAAGGTATCAGAGTGGCCTCCCATTGACTGATTTTCAAATATTGAACTGTTTATCTATTCTGTGGTTATTTTTTGCTGAGTTTAATTTACTCATAGTTCCTGAAGGGTTTTTTATTTGGTTTTTGCAGGATATTGGTTGTAGTTTTTAGTTCTTATAATGTCTTGTACTTGTTCTAGTTTGGAGAAAATATTGACCTCATAGAATAACTTGGCAATATCTTTATTCTTCTGTTTTCTGAAAGAGATTATGTATATTTGGTGTTCTTTGAGTTTTGTTGTAATTTACTAATGAGGCCATTTGGACCTACATAATGCTTATTTGAAAGGTTTTTAACTTTAAGCTAAATTTCATTAATAATTATAGGACTGTCCATTTCATCTAAGATGAGTTTTGGTAATTTTTTTTTAAGAGACTACAAAATAGAATTAAAACAGAAAAATTACAAATGATACAGAATTTTACTAAAATAATATGAATTTCACAGTATTTGATGTATTACATAGTGTTATCTTCATATTAGTTGTTTATATTACCAGATATATGCATGCAAAATTGGAAGAAGAAAGAAATTAAGACGAGAAAAAGGTCAAAGAACTAAAAAAGGAGACAAAACAAATTAAGCACCAACTCCTCCTTTCCATAGATCAGCAGAAATTCACAGTACAATTGTACAATCATCGCACTTACATACGTAGATCTCTCTTTTCCCCACTTCCTCTCCTGTCTTCCCCTCATGGGTTTTGCTAATTTTTGTTCTTTGAGGAATTCATCTGAGTTGTTAAATTTATGTGAAAAGAATTGTGCATAATATTTGCTTATCCTTTTGTTATCTATAGTATGATACCCTTTTCATTCCTGATTTTGCTTGTTTCCCTTTTTTCTTTGTCCGAGTTATAGTGGTTTATCAATTTATTGATCTCTTCAAAGAAGATTTTGGGGGCCAGCCAAATAGCTCAGCAGATTAAAGCGCCTGCAAGCGGACTCAGGGGCCAGGGTTCAATTCCTGGACAGACCCTGCTGGCCCCGCCCCCCCCTTACCCCCCCAGCACACTGAGAAGGCACTTGAGAATGGCTTTGGGGGCATGCACCTGTAATCCCAGCACTTGGGAAGCTGTAAACAGGAGCATCACAAGTCCAATCTAATGATGAGATCCTGAACACCCTGTAGACCCTTCCCTAAAATACAGAAAAAAGAAAAAAAAAAAAAAAGATTTGGTTTCATTGATCTCTTTTATATGGTTACTCAGGAAATTTGTTTTTAAATTGAAGAGTAGGAGGCAGTATATTCATACCAAGAAGAAATTTGCAGTAATATCAGGAAATTCAAGGTGACAGTAAAAATTATAGATACATTTACATTTTGACCCTACAGCTTCATTTTACTCAAATAGAGAACCTGCAAATATATAAGAACATAATACTGCAGTGATACATTATAGCAGCAAAAGATTTAGAAACAAGGCTAGCATCCACCAGATTCTTTAAATAATGACATGTCTGTATACTAGAGTACTATTCAACTGCTGTGAAGTTCTCTGTGTGTTTTAAAATACAGAGATTTACTGAAGATATCTCATTACATTTAAATAATCAAAGTGCACAGTGGAATATTATTCAGCATAAGAAACTATATCATTTGCAGGAAAATGGTTAGAAATAAGCCAGACTCAGATGAACAAATATCACATGTTTTCTCTCATATATTGAATCTAATAGACAGGTAAACAGGTGATAGAAAGCAAAACAGACTATTAGAGAAGAGGAAGGGAGTGGAGGCATGGGGAGGAAGGTCAGAGGAGTACATAATGGTGGAGTGAAGCAAGTATGTTCTATACATGTACATGTGCCAAATGAAAACCACTATTTTGTATAACAGATAGGTACTACTAATTAAATTTTTTTAATGCAGACTATATATAGGTCTAATTATATAACAAATGATAAAATAAGAATATACTTATTTGTAGAAAAAATCAGTAAGGAGAAATGAAAACTAGTGGTAATAAAAATGGTTTTCTTCTAAGGGTCAGGAGAAATAGTGAATGGGGACAAGGATAAGAACAAAACTGCTTAACATATATCTTTTGTATCAGCTAAAGTTTGAACCATTGTTAGAAACTTACTAAATTTTATGTTACGTATTTTTTTATGTGTTATGTGTTTAAACATACTTAAGTATAAAGAATAGAAAATGAATCCCCTTGTATGGGTCACCCAGCTTTAACAATTAGCAGCACACAGCCAGTCCTATTTCATCCAGATCTCTACCCACTCCCCACTCTCTCAGTCCCAAATGGATTATTTTGAAACAAAGGGTAGACATTGTATCATGTTATTTACATATAGTTTAATGTGTAACTATAAAGAACAAGGACTTTTTTTGGTGGTACTAGGGATGAAACTCAGGACTTTGCGCTTGCCAGGCAAGCACGTGTTCCACTGAGCTATCTCCCTGACCAACAAGGATTTTTTTTTTAACATAACCAACATGATTATCACTTCCAAAAATTTAACAATAATTCTCTAATGTGCAAATGTTATTTTAACCCTTCAATGCATAGTGATCCAGTTTTGAAACACCAATAATGATGCACATAATGAAATGTGTTCTCTTCACATTCTTGTTCCTTAAACTTTTCCAGGTAACATATATGGATTTCAAGCAAAGATTTAAAAACTCTCAATGTCTGGGATAAATGGATTAACTTCCCCAATTATTTCATTGGCTTTATTTGATATATTTAAAATAGGATCTAAAAAGGTTCTGTTCAGGCTAGAGAGATGGTTCAGCAGTCTAAGCACTTGCACCCAGGTTCAGTCCCTGGTACTGCATATCCTGCTGGCTGGCCCGATTTGGCTGTACCAAACACATACATACATACATACATTATTTTTAAAAATTAAAAAATGAATAATTTTTCTTATAATATTTGATTTTAGTTTCTTGTAATCTCCCTCTTTTTTTTTTTTTTGAAAAAGATTGCTTAGTGTTTATGTACAGAAGGAAATGGCTCTTTTGTTCTCTATACTTTCCTAAGCTCTGCAGTTTGCTGATTATATATTCCTGTAGTGTTCTTTAGACTTGTTCCCTGAATCCTACATTTTCTCTCAATGGTAGTTAAATATAACAGTCTAAAAATTACAGAGTATTTTTGCTTTTGTTTTCCAAAAATGGCACTGTCCATATAAAATGGCATTTGGTCGTCTTATGCTTTTAAGAAGTTATCAGCCTTATCCACCCAGGATAAAATTCTCCATCAATTTTCCACTTAATGGTTTAAAAAGATTGCAAGATCAAATTACAAAACTTTATGAAAGGAAACGGGAAAAAAGGAATGCTAAAAAGAGAGCAGTCTGTGTGTATGCTTTAAGTATGTTAATATGCAAGAGAGTGTACAAGATTTGTGTTTGTATGAAAGAGGCTATTTGGTAGAAAATGTACAAAACTTTTCATGAGATTGAATTGGTGATATAAGAGAAAAAACAATTTTAAAGGAGAATAATCTTAAAATATCACTCTAAATCAAATTTCAGTTTTGAACTTTATCTCCTAACAATGTTAATGTTGATAAAAAAACATCAAAAGTTATGATCATGAGCTATTATTGGCTTTGGTGCAGTAAACATAATATTTGTATAATAATTGTGTCCTAAGACTGAATAGTTGCTAAAACTCAAAAATTATTGTGAAGGGCGTAAAGACCTAGTAACATTGCCTACCATGATCCTTGCCCCAATTTTGATTACAAAAAAGAAAGTAATGTGAAAGACAAAAGAATAGCTATGCTTATCTGGACTGTATTATTATATTATACAATATTGATTTATTGTCATAGCGTGTTCAAAAGCAGATTTTGCTGACGATTATAAAGTGAGTTCATGTTTTAGAAATCCAAATCTGTTGTACTCCCAATAAGTGAATGGAATTTAAATTAATTCAATAACAATGAACTTTGTGTTTGTTAAAAAGTATTTATATCATTGTTCTGACCTTTAGGTATAGAGGAAAAGAGAAAAAAAAGATGTGATATTCAGTGACCCAAGAAATTAACCTTAAAGATTTCTAACTGTCTTTCCTCTGTCTCCCATGATTTTCATATTAAGACAAATAATTGTTTGGTACTAAGTCCTTTCTTTTTACTATTCATCTTACATTTTAACTGTTTCTTCTCATTTCCATTCATTTAATCCTTTTTCCCAGTTGTAGTACCCCATATTCAATTTATTCTAACTTTCCATTTCTTTTGCTGAAACAATCTGTTTTTTAAACTTCTAGACAGAAATGTGTACAATATGGAAGTTAAGCAGCCTCAGAAGATATCCAGAAACTTGCCATTCCTATCTGACAGCAGACCCAAGCTTTCTCTACCCTGAGGTTTCAATCAATTCTGTTTCTACACTAAAAATATTCTGAGCTATTACCCTTACAAGACAGAACTGAGGCAAAAGCCAGGACACTTGTTTGTTATATACTGGTTGGGCACTCAGTTCTCAAATGGTCTGTTATGAAGACACATGAGAACAAATTTTAAATAGGTGAGTAGTTAGAACTCAACAGATGTTATAGTGGATTGATAAATGGAGAAGTAAGTGGAAGAAATTGAGAGAAAAATAGGTTTATATGTAATGAATGAACAGAAATCAATCAGTAAAACAGTGTAAGCTACTTGCATTTAAGTATTATGCATCTCATTAGAAAGGTAAATTATGTTCACTTCTTTCTTGTTATTTACTTCAGGGATTATGATCAGGAAAAGTTTGCTGATAACCAAATCCCACTGTTGGTAATAGGAACTAAACTGGACCAGATTCATGAAACCAAGCGTCATGAAGTTTTAACTAGAACTGCTTTCCTGGCTGAGGATTTCAATGCAGAAGAGATTAATTTGGTGTGTATTTTCACTAATAGATGTTTGATTATTATCAGATGAAAGCAAAACCAAAGATTTATATTGATGAAAGTTTTATATTCAAAATTAAGATATTGGGGTTCTAGTCCATGGTGCAGTCATGAGTGTAGTTGGTATTTCTAGATTATCAGGCACAGTCACTTTGAGCATGTATGCTGACATATTAGACTTGTTTGTTGGTTTTTGTTTTTGTTTTTGGTACTAGGAATCAAATTCAGAATCTTGTGCTTGCCAGGCAGGTACTGTGCTGCTGAGCTATATCCTTAGCCCTAAAATTCTTGAAAAGAATTTTAAATAACATTAAAGTAAAAATAATTAAGTAGATTAAGATGACACTATATTTGATTATTTTTTTTACTTTATAAAAGAGTCTTTTAGCTGCTTAAGTAACAAAATTAACCTTAAAGAGGAACCAAACAGAAACATGAAAAAATTGTAAACTATAAAGTAGGAATCATAAAAACTTAATTTGTATACACAGTGGATAGATATAGCCAGGATTGAGTCCATTCCTGAGATAGCTAGTTCAATTAGAAATCAGGGCTAAAAAGGCTAAGAAGTAGTTTTCATTTAAACCAGTTAGCATTACTCAGGGAAGGATCTCAATCAACAACTTCAGTCGTGTTTACGTGTCATACAGTTGGATTTCTGTAGCATATTCAGGGCACTGTGTTCCAAATGTGCAGTGGGAAAGGCGTAATAATACTAACATCCAATATTAACTGAGGACCTATGTTTCAAACATGGTTCCAGTGCTCTATGTGTATTATCTCACATACATTATCCTCACATCAACCCTAGAAGGTAGGTACTCTACTATCCCGGTTGTAAAGATGAAGACAAGAAACAGAGAGATGCCAAGACCAAAATAACATGGGTCAAATAAAGCACTCTATTTCACATTTAACTAACCTTTCAACTAATGTTCAAGTTTTGGAAGCTGAAAGAATTCTTGGAAATCATCTAGACCAGTGATGGTGAACCTGCCAGAGCTTTGAGTGATACAAGCAGCCTACTGCAGTATGCATGCCATAGGTCCACCACCACTGATCTAGATTAGCAATTACCCAAAGCTGACTTCATATTACTAATTGTACTTATGAAAAATTTTAATAACTAGCCCCTACAGCTGGAGCTTTTTATTCATAAAGTCTGACATAAGGCCTATAATTTTGTTTTGTTTTTAACGGAGTCTGCGCAGGGCCTTTCTTGTGCTAAACACGCACTTTGCCTCTAAGCAACACTCCTAGCCCAATTTCTATAATTTTAACAAATTAATTTAGGTGCTTTTGATTTTCTTGCTCTGTGAATTAACATTTGTAAATGCTGCTTGGTTCAGCTCCACCTATCCATGACTGAGTCTGTTTTTAACTGCCATCTCATTAGTTTTTATATTCTGCTTTGTAGAAAATAAATTTTTCTGTGGAGCTATTATGGACTATTTCATTGTAAATACCCAAGTAATCAGCATTGGACCATGATATTTCCAAGAATCACTGCTATATAAAAATATAATATTTCTGTTGAAGAAGTCCAGGGGTTAACATCAAGCATTATTTCCAAAGAAAAGTTTACCTTTGCATACACCTAATTTGTCCCAACTTTTAATATATTTCTGAATGCATGTGTTTCTAATGGTCATGGGTTCCTATGACAACCATCCTGTATTTGTTATCAAGATGTAAAGGTACATAAGTAGTAAAACTTTACATGCCTAGTTTCCAAAGAGTTTAAATACAGCATGCTTTGGCTTTTATCAGAATACAGCCTTAAGAACACAGCAGAAATGATAGGAGACTCATGAGGATACAGGGAAGAAAATAATAAGGAACATAGGACACAGGGAAGTTTCAAATGGAGACAGAAGTCAGAAAGACTCAGCAAGTAAATATAAAGTATCGGATTAAAAGCTAATGAAATATGGGTGTGGAGGCCTGTGCCTATAATCCCAGCAGCTCAGGAGATTGAGGTTGAGGTTGCAACTTCAAGGCCAGCCTGTGCAATTTAGCAATACCCTATCTTAATAGGCGTGAGGGAGCATGCCTGTAATCCGAGCACTAAGAAGACTGAGGTGAGGCAGGAGTATTGCTTTCAGTTCCAAGGCAGCCTGAGCTACCTAGTGAGTTCAAGGCAAACTTTGATTACCTTGCAAGACCCTGTCTCAGAAACAAACAAAAAAATGGAATCAAATTTATTCTACCTGAGTAACTGAAAAGCTGTTTTAATTATTAGCACGTGGTAGATTATGTTTTAAAAATGCTATTAGTCTTATTATGTTTAGTAAAAGTTTTGTCTATCATTTGTTTACTCAGAGTGTTGATAATTGAAACATTTTCCCTAGTTAATGGTTCTCTCTTAAACAAGCTATCAGAGACACTAGCTTTCAGCCTTTGTGATCAGAGTGGGAGATAGTTCTTTCAGCTCTAAAATTTTCATAGGAAAAATGGCTTTCAGTTCACAGGTTAGCTGAAAATTGTAAAGCCCTAACATTAAGTGGGTTTTTCTTGGAATGGAGGAGTTCTGTTGATTTTGTTTTTGTATTTAGCAATTTAACTACTTAACATTATCTCTGAAATTCTAAGTTTTTAATACCCATTTTGTAAAATCTATCTAATTCAGTCTAAAGTTTGTTGCTTATATGCCCCAACTGCTATACAAAGGTGTTCACGCATTATTTCAAAAACAACAGTATACATGGGGGGCCTGCCCCTTAGCTCAGCTCTTTAAGTGGCTGCTTCAACAAAGCAGTCAGGCTCAGGTTGCTGTGGTTCGATACCTACAACTCAAGCCAGCCAAACATGCCCTGAAGGCATTCGGAGCAAAAAAAAAAATCCTTCTGCCATTTAGGGGGCTAGGGAGATGGCTCAATGGAATAAGCGCTTCCCTGGCAAGTGCAAGCGCCTGAGTTCAAACCCCAGTTCCGCCAAAAAAAAGGGAAAAAAAAGTATACATAGTGTGTTTCTGTGTACTTATGTATAAAATTATCTTTTTGATGTTAGTTTTGTGATAGCATTTTCTAGGAATGGAAAAGGGAACTAATATTCCAGTACCCACTAGGTCCCAGACACGCATTATTTCGTTTAATCTTCTCAAAAGTCCTATGGGATGTTATTCCCATTTTTGTTTCTGGCCAAAACTTACTATGTCATCCTTCAAGTTTTGAATGTGGAGAAAATAGAGTATTCTAACTTCACTGGAAAGAGATCATGTAGGCTTAGAGATTACTAGACAGAATAAGTACAATTTTTCAAGGGACACAGAAGGTCCATAGATAAAAGACAAGTATTCTTGGAAAAGAGCTTCATGACATCCTCAAAGTCTGCTCTAAAATAGTGTTTGAAATAAACATCAGTGTATTTACACACTGTCCAATCTTGAGATGGAAGTGAATGATGACAAGCAGAGCCCATGCAACAATCTCCTGGGATTCCAGGAGAAGGATAGTAAGCATTTTAAGATTTTTATAAGTTATTTTGATGTTTTAATGTTTCAGACTGTTTCATCTCTCCTGGGCAACCATCTTTTTTCTATTTTAAATAGTGTTACTATATTAAATAATAGTAATATACTTGTTGCTTTTTTTTTTCTTTTTTTTGGTTATGAGCAGAATATATTTATTGAGAGAAAGAAAGCTCCTGTCCGAGAGAGGGACGGGGGGTGGGGGAGAGGCCAAGCAGGTAGTTCCCCCTACCTGTTGCTTATTATTATGTACAACAGTAGATCTTTGTGGCTTACAAAAAAAAGAAATGCTTGGCATTTCTTCTTTCTGTTTTTTGCTCCTCTTTGCTGCTTACTATTCTATAAATTACATAGTACCTAATTCTTTGAGCACTGTGAGTAATCCTAAAAAATGAAGTGTTTACTGTTTGTCGTGGCTTTGTTTCTGGTTTGGGATGGTAAATATAAATAGGTTGCCTGAATAGAATTTTAATTTTCTGATAAATAAACTACTAGAAATTCTGTCTTTAATGAATTATTTTTTAAGGAAATCACTGACTCAGTATACTTTGAAATTGCTTAGATGACAAAGAATAACTGGTCTTATCCTTCTCTGGTAATTTTCTGCATTGTAATTTTAGAAAAGTATTTGAGTATCTTATGGGAGTACTCAATTGTTTATAGATGTGCAAGAGGAAAATAAGTTACAAGTAAGAGCTTTGGCCCTAACTTTTATTTGTGGATCTTATATTTTCTAGGATTGCACAAATCCACGGTACTTAGCTGCAGGATCTTCCAACGCTGTCAAGCTCAGTAGGTTTTTTGATAAGGTAATTACTTCAATTAAGTTATTTTTAAACTTAATTTATACATTATGGAAGTTTGAACTCTTTGTAGAATGTTGTGTCCCTTTATTTCTCCATTCAGACTTCACAGCCTTAATAATAAATGTGTTAATCGCTCCTATCTGTTGAGATCATTGCTCTAGGCTTGCTGATGTGTTTATTTTATCCCCAGTCTTTTCAGCATAGTCCAAAAGTATTAGTCTGAGTTTTTAAAGGTTAACTAATAGCTCTCCTTAAAGCAACTATATTTACCTGTTCTCTAGCTCTTTGAGTAGTTATTCACACTCTCTAACCTCCAAAAGGCACTGAACTGGAAAGGCTATATTTAAAGCCGTAGTTCTTTTTATTCTGTCAGCTATTAAGATTCTCCACATAAACAATACTATTTCTTTGTGAGGTTATGTAACCTTCCTGATTCTCTAATGTTGCCCTATCAGAAACTTTTGCATTACTTTTATCAGCTCTGCTAACATCATCTTTTCATCACTGAGCTAGAATAAAAATGTAGATCGACTCAACACACTGCAATTTAGGGCACTTTTTGTTTTTCTTACACACCATTCAACTGCATTGCGCATAGTATTGACTAAGTTTAAGTTTTTTACTCAACGTTGATATTCCATACCATAATAAAGTAAAATTGGATATTTCTCTTTCTTATTGAAGATTAATTTCTATAATTTTCTTTTTAAATATAACCTAAGGAAAATATTTCCCTCCTTATAGCTATTCTTTATAGCCCATTTTTGTTTTTTTAACTTTATTTGGCCCTTTTGTTCACTATAGCAACATATAACATGTGAGGCAAACCCGAGGGAACCTCAGTTCCCTCTCTGTTTAATTAGCCCAGTAGGAAATTTTTGCTTTGCTGCAGAACTTCTTAACTGACAAATAGGGTGCAGGTGTGCCCAGATCTTACTCCTTTGGCTCTCACAGCAGCCAGAGTCCTTGCACAAGGAGAGCCAGAGTCACTGACCTTACAGTGCTTATACATATTAGATTTTTCTAAATGTGCTATTGTTGCCCTCCAAATTGGAACACCATAAAATGAAAAATATTAGGAGGCACTGCAAAGAGCCTGTTTTTCTCCACACTGTTTTCAAATTTAAAGAGTAGTAACTTCCATGTAGTTTCGATCTTTAGCCCCTCCCCCCTTGCAAAATTCTAGCCCCTAAGAGTAGCATTCTGTACAGCTATGTCTGACCTGGAAAGGATCCACAGTATATTGTCTTAATTTTTTTAATTATTGATTTTAAAATTTGAAACGATGTAGTAAATTATATGTTAGAGTGATAAGGTGTTATAGACTAGCCAAACCCATGTTGTCAGACAGGGTTTTATTTTTTAAAATGAAGAATTATTTGTTTGATCATAAGAATGCAGCAAGATTTAGTAAGATAAAGACTCTGTAAGTTAGTGGTAAAAATTATTAGCAAAAGCAAAAAGATAACTTCCTTGTTACCTAAATCTCAACAAAATGTCTGTGGGCTAGGAAGTAGGTTAGACATTTAGACTGAGGTGGTAGTCTGAAACCTAGGCACCTGGTCAGTTAATTTTTGCCTAGTTTTCTATTTAGCAAATCTTCTAGAAGTTAGTGTGAAGAGTGTACTTCCTATTCCAGACATGCTGGAATCTAGAATAAGATTTTCCTGTCACTGTTGTTGAGGGGTCAAGTGTTTTGCGATGTATCCAAGTCAGTACGCAGCTTTTCTACCTCTACAATCAGTTTTCCCTGGGTCTCTGTGTCTTAAACTAACTGAACTGTAGTCTCCAAGATAGAAAGGGTATAGATATTTTAGCTCTCGTGCCAGTGAGAGCAACCTGGTATAGGCCTGGAAAAACATGCCTTGCTCTCATTTGGAGTATTTCTCAGCTTCCAGATTTAAATGCCTTCAAGTTTATCTTCAGTGAATCTTTATTATTACCTGATTAACTTTTCTTATCACAGCACCTCTGTGTAACAAAAATAACACTGCCCCTGCAACCATTGCCATGTTTCTCATGTTAAAATTTACTTTTATTAAATGTTTTTCATCATCTGAGAACATGATGCTCTTAAACTCATTACATTAGAATGTAAATTTTTAGCATTTCTTTCCAGTAGAAGTGATGGATTTGTGAAGGTCCATCCATTGCTTTAACTTATTTCTCCTATTGACCAGATATAGACACTACTGAATTAAGGATGCAGCTGAAATACAAAAGGAGGCTAATTGATTGTTTCTCATTTTGTGTTGTTTGCCTACAATAAGGAAATACAGCATCTGTCACCGTGTGCACTGTTGACTATGTGGCCATGGCAGCTCAGTGCGTTACACAGACTTCTCTTAAAGAAATAGGCGTAATATTATAAGAGTCAAATACTTACTTACATTATGGATTCTGTTCAGAACATTTTGAGTGTGACTGCACAGATACTTAGAGACAGATTTCCTGCCATATTACATGAATTGCATAGGATCTTATTCTGTTAGTTGTTTTTATTTGTTCATTTTTAAATCTCATTCATGTTCTTTGGAGTGAACTAAGTTTTTATGGAAATAGTTCACAATCCTGATCTCTTTGTACCAGATTTTAACTCTTACTAAATATCTACAGCTATTAAACATTCTTATTTTGAGTATATTCCTTTTAGACCTATTATGGCCAGATTTTTTTTTCCAAGTAAAAGTATGCTAGTCCTTAAAATCTTTGTTTCTCACAGGTCATAGAGATGAGATACTTTTTAAGAGACAGTAATCAGGTTAGTATCTATTTTCTTAATAAAATGGGGTTTTAAATTTGGAGAAAGATGTTATTGAAATTTAATTTCAAAACTGGTTTTAAATCATTGAGAGAATCTCTTTTAGTCATAAGCAACTTATTTTCTTCGGTTCTATTAAATATAAAATGAGATAATCACAAAGAAAAACAGGGATTTAAAATATAAGAAGAGGGTGGGAGAGATAGCTCAGTAGTCTAAGTGCCTGCCTGGCAAACACAAAGACCTGGCTTCAATTCCTGGTTACCACTTGCCATGCCAGCCACTGAAACTGGGTGTGGTGTCACATGCCTCTAATCCTAGTATCAGGGAGGCTGAGACAAGAGGATCACTATGAGTCTAAGCTGCATAGCAAGACCCTGTACCAAATAAATAAATAAACAGATTTTTAAAAATACAAGAAGAGTCTGAGGACATGATTATTTTATAATAGACGAGATCATTTGTTTAAGACGCCAACATTTATGTCCAGCATCTGTGAAAATGCAGACACTTCATATATAAGTCCAGTAGGTGATAACACTGTCATCAATTTGTTGGCAGATATTTTCCATTTGGTGGAATTTCTTTTTATTAATTTTCTGAGCAAAACCTCAGAAAGCTGGTTCTGTAATGAACAGAAGGCTGACAGAAACAAAAATGTGAAAAATTTTAATATTAGGTTTCAAACTTTTTCTGCTTGAATCTTAAATGCAATTGTCTTTCTTACCTACAGATTCCAGGCTTTCCTGATAGGAAAAGGTTGTTGGGAGGAACATTTAAGAATCTTCATTATGACTGAATTACACTCATCCTTTGGAATAATAAGAAAGAAGACAGTGGCAGTTTTCACAGCTTTCCTCTGGCTGTGTAAGTTATTAGCATCTCAGACTTAGGACAAAGCCATCTTAAAACACTACCCTTCAGCCTCACTTGTTAATGGAAAAATGAAAGTAGATGACAACGTGGAAGATCCACACTGTGTCCCTGTTCTACTGAGAATGTTCCTCACCCTTTCTGCCCATTTAGAGATTATGTAAAAGCCTTGTGGAAATATGAGACACTATTGTCCAAATGATGCAGTAAATGAGCAGTGACACTGCTGCACAGAAAATTTCCTCTTGCCTGGAACTGGAGGGTTTTTATGGGTGTGTAATTTTCCTGCACTCATTTCTGAAAGCTTTTAATTAAGTACTTCAAAAAAATCTTTGTTGTTTTATCTTCTTAAGGAAAAAGCTTATCAGCCCTGAGGTGTCCACCCCAAACAGTCTCTGTTCATTTTCAAAGCAACCAAATGGTGTTATTTAATTGTCTGTATCGTCTTCACACATAGGAAATGCATATGGAGAGCAACCCTTGTCTTGCTACTACTTTACAAATGGTTTTATACCTGGGATAGATGGACTGATAGTGGACTATGGAGTTAACTATAAATACAGATTAATAGTATATAAAGAATAGTATCAGAAAAATTTGGGGAGAAATCGACAGCATCTTCACTTTTTAGGTTGCAACCAGTCTCTTCCAAACAGTTTCCTGTTTGGACATAGCTAAGGTGAAATCTGAGAACTACACAAGGAC